AGAGCAAATGATCGATCACCTCTAGATTTCAGTCGAGATCTGGGCTGAACCAGCAGTAACTGTGAGGATGACCTTAAAGCCCTGGCAGGAGCATATGGGTTTAAAAGTTCCTTAAGATAGCTTGGTGCAGTGTTATTGGTAATTTTTAAAGTAAACAACAAATTTTTAAATTGAATACGATATTTGACAGGCAACCAGTGCAGATCAGCAAGGACAGGAGTAATGTGGGCAAACTTCTTGGTTTTAGTTACTTAGTTACTCATATTTTGTATTTTGAGCCTGTATGTATACTTTTAACTCTATGGGAATTAGAGAAAATCCAAAATACATTAAAACCTGTGCACCCAGCAGTTAAAATAAATCGTTTAAGCCCGAAATTACTGTGACATTCATGCCTATGGTGAGTGTACTATGTAAACTTATAATCTTAACTGTATTTGTGCTAATTAGTGGTTTTTACTCAAACAATTACTCTTATTACATTTAACATTAAAATAAAATATAAAATATAGCGCGGAGTGTTACATGAAGTCCTTAATGAACATCTGTAAAATATGCTGTCAGTACAGTGCAGCCTGCTGGTCATGACTGCAAAATATATCAGCATTTATGATTAGCCAGACATTTGATTGCTAATCATGGTTTCCACTCTGCCCTCTCATCTTCACTGTTCTTTGTCTCTGTCTCTGTCTCTTCCTCATGATGTCATTGCATTAGGCCCGATGTGAAGGGAGGGGTTAATTAGTGGGATTAACAGCGATAGTCTGAAGGAAACTTATTGAACCAACACACATACATACATGACGGTAAACTGATACACACACATTTGATACACATGCATGCTAATGACTCCAGCAAAATGACAGTAGTCAGCAGCGTTATTTCCCTCAATCAGTTACAAATGGAGGATTAAAACGTATGAGGCACAGCTTTAGAAAAACCGCTCTGATGTTGTTGAAGCAGAAAATATGTATTTGGCATCCGTCAGATGAATGACAGGTATGATTAGCGGAGCACAGTGTCAATCATAGCTGCCCGTCTGGAGAAAAAAAGGATTATAAAACTCTTTATTCTGAAATGATTTACCAAGTCTTTTAATGATAAGAAATTGAGGAAATTAGCCTTTTTATAACGTACTCTACAGGCTGGATATTTCATTTATAGATAAAAGATGTGCGGCAGCTGCTTTCAATTACTTTCAAAGAACAGAAATTAAAAAAAAAAACATTAAAATATAACATCTGTTGCTTTTCTCACAAATATGGGGTTTCTTTAATTTAATCATTTGTGCAGATATCTCCTTGTTTTCAAATCAGTTTGGCTGTTTTTTGAGCTCCTATAAATGAATCATTATATAATGCTTAAAACAAAGCAAACCCGCCAACCAAAACATATGTTATCTTAGTGCAGGTACAGGCATTTCTTCAAAAACCGAGTTTTTACAGGTTTATACTTTCATAGCTGCTTTTTTCCCTCTCTGAAGAGGGAACAAAGGTTTCTGGGATTCAGTTACAGAAAGAGATTTGATGATGAAGAATTAGACTTGGAGTGGTCTCAAAGCTGTATTTATTTTCTCAGCCTCCTTCCTGCCTCTCAGCTGCTTTCCCGAGCAGATATACAGGCGTTTGGATTTAATGAACGAGCCCACCACTCCAACGGCACTGAAGTGGTCACATGACCCTCACATTCATGTCATGCTGGCGGTTTTTCATTCCAAGGCCGACTTCAAGCAGCAAGGCAGAAAATCTCCAAATGAAAAACGTGATTGATGCCTGCTATTCATAGCTCCCAATTAGCTCACCCATCTTCACCACACGCACACAGTTGTTCCATTGGAAAAAGAAAATGCTAGCATTTCTTGGCATAATTAACTTCACTTTCACAGATCTGCATTAAATAATGCAGATGAAGCAGAACAGGTCCTACTGTATCCTCATATATATTATTATCCTTTTACATCCGTGCTGTTCTCTTTACAGTCCTGAAGCGAGGCAAAGTGAAGAAGGGTAAAAACGACCTGATCAGCGCTGAGGAGGGGGAGGATCCTTTCGCAGACATCTCCTCTGTTGGTAAATCTTTTTTTTTTTTACCCACGTCCACCAGCAGGATACCCCTGACCTTTACATGCTGTCTATTCACAAACACGACCTTTACAATAAACCCCCCATAAAGGCTCATCTTCTACAGTGAACACGTTCTCTGACTCTGTCGCCTCCCTTTATCAGATCAGGATGCCATGTCTCTGCAACATTTAAACACGAGGCCAAAGATCTTAATAATGTATATTATTCTAGCAGCTCTTGGATTCAGAGACCGAATGTCTAAAGTTTCTCCTGGCTGTGGATCACCTTGAGGGCAAAGGAGCATAATTAACTTTTCTAATTAGGCTGTTGAAATAGCAGGAGAATCACCTGCAGCATATTCAAATTATACTTTTTAATATTAAGGGACTTCATGCTTCCCAACAAAGCCAACGTGTAATTGCTTGTCTGTGGGTTGGAAACAGGCATTAGCAGGGTAAATGAAACAATTTAGCTGCCTTCTTTTTTCCCCCCATTATCTGATCTAATGACTGTTTTTTTGTTTGTTTGTTTCTTTAGAAAAAACATTGCTGAGGGAATAGATGTCATATATATTCCATGTCTCATCTCACTGGTTTCACTCATAATGCCTGCAGTTCTGCTGTGCAGCACAGAAGTAGTAGGTGCACAGTTTTAATGAGCAGCTGCAGGTAAATTTCAAGGAGTGTTTAGGTGATTTAATGGTTTGATTTATGTCCCATGGGGAGATTTTAAAAAAAAATTTTTAATCAGTTTACAATCTTGGCCATGAACAAGTTTATTGCTTGGGAGCAGATTTAAAAGTGTGTTAAATCTGTTTAGAGCACATTTTTCTACCTAGTATAACAGTTAAAAGAAACTTTTTGTGAGCTTAGCTCAATAGTTGCCCCCAAAATAGCAGCAACTTACCAGTAACTTATTAATACCAGTAACTAAAAACTTAAAAACACACACTGAAGATTAGGATAATATAAAACCAGCAGTCTTAAAAAATGTCTATAGCATGAAAATAGAACAGTATTTCAAATTAAAACAAGATAAATACGAACAGAACTGAGAGCCCGACCCCATGTTGTTCTAAAACTGTTCTATTTCTACATTGACCAAACCACAAAGATATTATTTTATTGTGCATTCACTGAATCAGTTTTGTCCTTTCTATTGGTGTCATGTGCAAAAAGTCTCAGTCTACATGAAATAGTCAAATGGAAGAATTACACTCGAGTGAGTGTCCCTGTGCACCAGACAGTTACAGCTGGCTCAGTTTTCCTTCAATACTTACACCTTTTTCCTGGTGACTTTCAGTTTCTTCCTAGATGTATCAGACTCGTATTCAGAGGAGGGCTTATGCGTAATATCAGCGGTTTAAGTCTGGGAGATTTTTTCTAGGGGGATGTTTCAACTGCAATTTTAACTCCTTATTTGTTGTTAGAAAGAACGGCCTTACAACTATGCATGAGAAAACTGAGCAGTACCAGGAGGTGAAGATGCAGCAGACGTGGAAAGTGAAATCCAAAGTGGTTCCTGCGATAATAGGAGCATTAGGGGATATTAGTAGCATTATGTAAACCCCAAACTGGAAAACTGGAAGAGTAGCTCCAGCAGATTCTACGTACAACATTCAAGCCTGTGGTAAACAATCCAGACATGCTGTGCAGAGTATCTCTCTGTAGGTACAAATAAAGTGATCTGAATCTCAAACACCCTGAGACCAGTGACACTCGCTTTAGGGGCATAAAATTAGGATGCTACCTTATCTGTATTTATGGGTCTCAGTGGGTACATTGTGGTAAAGGAGAAGCAGTGGAGTACTTTAGTGACCTGACTGGAGCAAATAAATAAATAAATACACACACACACACACACACACACACACACATATATAGATATATATATATATATAGAGAGAGAGAGATTGATAGATAGATATACACACACACTTTTACTCTGTTTTGTATTCCATGAGTACAGACCTAATATTTGAAAGAAAAAAAAACTACAGTTGCATCAAAGCCTTCCTACTGCTCTGTCTAACCTGCATGAGCTGCTCATGTGTAGAGGAGAGAGGTTATTTACAGAGAATTAACAGTGCCTTTGACACTGGGTTCATAAAGTCTGTTGTGTTTGTTTTGGTTGAAATTCTGAGTGCAGCTTTCTTAACCCAACAGAAGTAAAATGTTTATTTCTTCGAAGCAAAAAATCCCAATACACAGAAGCCTGAATATTTAATTACACCACAGCTGAAAGGGCAGGATGTGATGCATGCAAGCTCTTATTAGAAAACATTACTGTAAAAAAAATTATAAACCAAACCACACCAGCTTAGTTTATATGAGTCACATAATGTGAGTCTTTTATGAATGAAAGGCAGGAAACCAGTGTGCCAAACACATACCCATATCCATCACACAGTTCCTGTAAAACTACAGCTGGCCTAAGTGTTTCTATACAGATTTACGTTACAATAAAAAATATTTAATTTATGTCTAAAAGAGGAAGTAGGTGGATTATTTTCTCTATGATTGCTAAACGAAAGCCTTGTAAGCATTACAGCCATCTGAGTGTAAAAGCTAATTTTAAGATCACCAGGGGAAAAAAGCAAAGGAAACGGACAGTGATTCATTGTGAAAACTGTGAATCTGAGAAATAATTAGACGCTGCACACTCACACATTTCCTTTCTCACCTCATGGTCATCGTTTTCAGCTCCTCCTGGCTCTCCGTTTGGTCGGGCCAGTGTGAAAAGCAGCGGTAAGATGGACAGCTCATCTTACTTCCGGCGCAAAGAGAAGAGGACCCGCTTCTTCATCCGCCGCATGGTGAAGGCTCAGAGTTTCTACTGGATCGTCCTGTGTGTGGTTGGCCTCAACACACTCTGCGTGGCCATAGTCCACTATGACCAACCCGAGTGGCTTACAAGAGCCCTCTGTAAGTGTCAGAATAAAATGCACTCCTACATACTCACTTATTCACCGCCTGTATGACTACACGCTCTCTGTTTTGTTGCTCTGTCCATCAGACACTGCAGAGTTTGTGTTTCTGGGTTTGTTTCTGACTGAGATGACTTTGAAGATGTACGGCCTCGGAGTAAGGAATTATTTCCACTCCTCCTTTAACTGCTTTGATTTTGGGGTAAGTGTAGGCTGTAATCCAAGCTTCTGTTTGGTGATGACTGGTGTCCTAAAAGCAGAGCCACACACATCAGGTAATAACTTTACCTTCTCCTTTTGTCTTCAGGTGATTGTTGGCAGCATTTTTGAGGTGATCTGGGACATGATTAAACCAGGAGCATCGTTTGGTATCAGTGTGCTGAGAGCTCTGAGACTGCTTAGGATTTTCAAAGTCACCAAGTAAGTTCACTGTGTGAAACTACAAGGTATAACCATACATTTGTCACGGTTCTGGGTGACTTTGACCCAGCATTTTGAGTTCTTATGTTTTGGTTTGATTTTGTATTATGGGTTATATTCTGATTCCCTTGTTGTGCTTTGTTGATCATTATTATAAATCTATGTTTCAGTTTATTCTGGTTAAGGGTTTAGTTCTTAGGTTTTGTCCTTGTGCCCTCGTGTTTCCTGTTTTATTTTGAAGGTTTATGTCTTATATCAGTGTTTCTAGTTTTGCTTTCTCTGTCTCGTTAGGTCTAATTTCTCCCAGCTGTGTCCCCACCTTTTCCTCATTCCCTCATGTGTGTATATAGTGTGTGTCCTCCAGTGTTCAGCGTCGTGTCGTACCCTCAGATTTGCCTTTGTGTTTCCGGTCTCAGCTTTCATTGTTCAGTTTATGTGTTTGTTATTTGCTGGTAATAAAGCTGTGGTTTTTGAGTTGCTATTTTGTCTCGACGAGTCTCCGCCTGCCTGCACACAGATCCCTGACAACATGCCTTCAATGCAGAAATGTTTTCTTTGTTTGCACTTTGCAGCCCTACCAATATTATTGTGTTCATTGTGTGCTGCAGTTTAGATGAAAAATGTCTCCTTCTTGGTGTCATAAATCAGACAAAGTGGAACACAAAAACAGTATACAGTGCATAACTGTGAAATATACATAACGTTAGAGTGAGAAATCTTAAGGAGTCTGCTTTTTATCTCTTTGCCTTGACTTTTAATCTGAACACTTAAAATGTGTCTTCAGGAAGCAATACAGGAAAAGCTTTCAATGTATCATAAAACTCAAAGCACTACTTTACTGAGCAAAACCTGAATCTAGCTGAAAATTGTATTGCATTCATGTATATGGTTCTAATTGCACTCTTAAGGTCTTCCCACAGTATTTCTTTTTCAGACATTCTGTTGTATATTTATTGTTGTGCTTGACATAACTGTCCTGTTGTATGAGCTCTTCGGTTTGGGCATCACACAGTCTGACCTTGGTGTTAGGTGTAGGCTGTGTGCAGACAGGAATCGTGGACCCAAAAGTGCAGACACTTGGAGACACAAAGTAAACTTAAGAAACAGCTTTAATACTGAACTAAAAAGATACCAGAACTGAGACTTTAAACATAAACTCAGGCAAGCAGACAAACACACAGCAAAATAAACGGTAGATCGCGACACAGAGAAACACAGGGCTTAAATACACAGAGGGAGCAATCAGGGAATGGGTAACAGGAGGGAAACACAGCTGGGGCAAATCAGGCCTAACGAGACAAGGGGAAGCGAAACCAGATACATTAACCTCAGACAAGGACCTTCAAAATAAAACAGGAAACATGACACAGACTGAACTAAAGACACAGACTCACACGCACGCACTGCAACAGAGGGAACAGAGACGTGGGACCAGGGCAGACACAGACACTGACTGGACACGGGGATATAGCTACTAAGGATACACAGAGACACGAACTACACAAGGGGATACAGCTGACAGGGGAGACAGAGCAACTAGAGAAGACAGAGACATAAACCATAAGACAGAACTCAAAGAAACCAAAGACTAGAAATTATAAATAATATAATAAACTCAAAAACCCTGGGTCAACGACCCAGGCATCCTAACACTTGGGGTTAATTTATTGGGTTGTCCACTCCTGCTAATATTGTGGCATTGTGCTAATACACACCTGCAACGTAACACTTGGACTGCACTTGACTAGACCTGATAATAAACTTACCAATACATCTATAAAACAGTTTCTTACCAGAAGGTCCTAAATATTGAAGCTGTGTTCTTCTATTCTTTTCTGCCTTGCTCCCTGTACTGACAATCATGTCATAGTTTATACCTTTCATGCCATAAGATTAGCCTTAATCTTGTCATTCAGTGAGACTGGCAGCTGTACACCCTGACACACTGATTTGTTTTATGCCACCTACACTTCTTGTTGCTATTTGTTCCACTCTGCCCTCCTCTGCTTTGGTTGTTCTGATATGTGTATTTGCAAGATTTGTCATATTACTTCTGTCTGAGTCTTCCTGTTTGCTTTTTTGTTTTTTTGTGTGTGTGTGCTCCAGTATGTACAACAATAATTTCTTTGTGCCCCTCTTTTTGTTTGCTCTTTCATGTCAGATACTGGAACTCTTTAAGGAACCTTGTTGTTTCCCTCCTGAACTCAATGAAGTCCATCATCAGCTTGCTCTTCCTCCTGTTCCTCTTCATTGTGGTCTTTGCCTTGCTGGGGATGCAGCTCTTCGGAGGACAGTAAGTGATTTGTCCAACCTGATCTGCTCTTTTTCCTCCTCTTTCCAACCATTTATAATTCATCACACGAGCACCAACACAAACACAAATCCTCTCCTCTTCTACTTCTCTACTCATTTCCCCACCTGACCCTTCTTGTGTATGATCCCTGGCCCAGCGTGGCAGTGGTGACAGACATGTTGACACAGCAGGTAGCTGGCAGATCAGCAGTAGTGACTGCAGCCCTTTGATATCACTCTCAGCAGGAGCTCCATGTCTTCTAACAACGGGAACACCTCATGATTCTGGGCTGGCTGCAGTTAATCAAAGGCCTGGCATCCGGCCCCGTCTGACTCAACTCACACACAAACATTTTACTTTCTCTCTCCTCACATATCATCTCACATCACACAAATACTGCTCTGGTCAGATAGTTTGCCTTTTTAAATCTACAGTACTAAAATTATTATTAAATCCTGTTGAGTGCTTAAAAAGAAGGTAACTGGATGTCTCTTGGCTTGTGAAGATATTTCACATCTCGTCCAAAAGGCTTCCTCATTTCTATAACAACTGTGTGACCCAGGTATTTAACCCAATGTAGGGGGCCCTTTGGAGGTATTCCTGAGGGTCATTGATCCCCTATTGATCATGTGAGCCATCACAAGCGTGGATCATTGCAGCTGCCGAGGTTTCACCAAGTGTAAATCTCTATATGTCATGGCCCTGCGTTGTAGTTTTTGGACATTATAGTGTTTGAATATTCTGAGTTGATTCTTGGTTTCATTTACCTCATGCTATAAGTGTTTAGTGAGACTAATTCCTCCCTCAGTGCTTCTCTCGTTCTCTTGTGTCTAGCTTCCTGTGTTGGTTTTTGTAGTCTCCAGCCTTATCTCCATGTTTATTTTCCCGTTTCACCGGTCTTGTCTCTGTCTCCTGCTCTCTCAGCTCAGTCATGTCCCCATCTGGGCTTTGTTCTGCCCCTCCACTCTGTCGTGTCTCCATGTCTGTTTTATCCCCAGCTCCTGTGTCTAGTCACTTGTTTTAGCCTCTGTGTGCACTCCCCAGCATCTCAGCTGTGTAGTCAGTTGCGTCTGGTTGCTGTCTCTCCATCTCCATCTTGTCTCTATGTTGCTCAAAAGAGTGTCTTTTCTCCACTTTTTTGAGAATGCCAAACTTGTCACTGGGATTAATAATATCCTACCTAGTTTGGAATACCCTATGATCCAGAAACTGACATTGTACATGGAAGCCATGTTATATCTAGCCATTAAACTATAAAGAATTTATATAATATAAAGAATAAAAATTTTCACATTTTAAAGTCTAGAATGTTTAATCAACCAACCATACAACCATCCATCCATGTTTACCTGCTTATTCAATTAATGGTAGCAGGGAACTGGAGCCTATCGTGCACGTGTTGCACTGTGGGAGAATGCCAGACCACCCGGAGAGAGAACCCATGGAAGCATGGGGAGAACATGCAAACACAACACAGAGAGGGGTCAGCTGGCTAGCAGGAGGCTGGCAGAAAAAAAAACAATCAAGTAGAACAATTAATCTCAGTGAAGTTAGTCCAAAGCACAAGGAAGCACCGTGCTTCCCAAGTGGGAATAAGCACAGACTGGAAAACCAGGGTAGCTGAGGCAGGGATTATATTTGATTGCAGACACAGATTCAAAGAGTAGTGGTGAAAAACAATCAGAAAAAAATTACACACAGTGATGTCATTTGTGAGACAAAAAAAGGTGCTGGTATTTCTGTGTGTCCACCATTTGAAAAACAATAAGCAACACATGGAAGTATTTAGTATTAAGTAGTGGAGTATTTCTTAATCATTCTTTTTAATTTGGAAAAACTGCACTCATTTGCTTTGCAATGTTCTTCCTCCAAGAAAGTTTAAACTGAACAACCAAAACACATTTAAAATGATATTTTAACCAAGTAGTGGCACATTATGTGATAAAACAACAACAACAAGTTTTTCATCAAAAACAGGCTTCTAGATGTATTTATCGGTGTCAATGGTTAGTACTGTTGCCTCACAAGAAAAAGGAAAAGCCTAATGTGCTGAGTGACCTTTTTATTTGGAGTTAGTATGTTCTCAAAGACTGATTGTTGTAAATTCGAGCGTGGATGAGCTGTTTGTCTCTCTGATGTCCCTGCCTTTTAGCAAAGTCAGCTGGGGTGACTTCAGTCACCACGAAAACACTGGTTTGCAAAGCAGTTAAAAAACATGGATGGATTTATGTTCCTCCTGGTCAGGCATACCTAACTTAAACAAAAATTTAAACAAATAGATGAGTTTATAAGCTGTAGTGTTTAATAGGTTGGATTCTATGTCAGGTTGTCAGAGTGATGAGTCCTGCATGATGTTATAAATGTTATAAATACGCTTTTATTTAAAGCATTGACCTCAGATGGTTTAAGAATCTCTTCTCCATTGTATTTTTCTCCGCTCTGGCAGGTCATAAATACACTCAACTGAAATGCACAGACGGCCTTCATAAAAACCACAACTGAATTTCTTTGAAGCAGGAGGCTGTTGCCATGGCATCAAGCCTTACATCAGTCTGCAGCATCATTTAACATCACATCAGTCTCTGGTGATGGACAAGTGTGAGATGAGTCTGACATCCACATGGTGCTTGTAGCCAGCTGAGCACACCAGGCTGAGCACAGTGTTCTCTGCCCACCATAACAACCATGCTATTGTTAATTCCCTTATTCGAACATTTTTACCTTTAAAAATGTGCCCAGGATTTTAAATATCTTTTTTGTGTTCATGAGTCTAAACATAGAAGTGGTTCAGTTGGGTCAGGTAAAATCTAAAGAAACCGCAACAGTTCCTCAGACAGAGCTTCGTTTTAAATAAAAAGTTTTCAAACCTTTTTTTTTTTTCTTTCTTTCTTTTTCAAACCTAAGTAGAAGACTGAATGGCCTTTTAAAAGGCAGCAGAAGTGCTTTGTTATACCCAGGCTTTATTTTTGGCTCAGAGATTATGTACTTGCTCTCAGAACGGTAAAAATTCTGAGAACTGAAAGATAAACAGCTTGAGGTAGAGGACTGTGTTCATCCTCCTGCTGAGACTCACAGGACATCGTTGACTGTTTTGCAAAAGTGATAAGCTCAAAAGTGCAGGATTTATTATAATGCAATAATTTTTGGTTTTCTGTTGGCTGCTTTGTAGCTCTCAGTTTTAGAGGCACAGACCTTCTTTTGTTGATTAACTCTGACTTTTTGTGGGCACAGGAGAGATGGCATTTTTACATTTTCTGCTCAGGCCCTTTTAAGTGTCCAGGATTGGTAATTGTACATCCTTTCAAAACAGATCAGAAACAGAAAACATCAAAGGACAATTGTTTACTCCCAACCTGTTTGACATTCCAGTTAATGAGTTTTTGGAACATTTTAAAAGACTTGGCATTTCATCAAAAAATTTAAAAGATTAATCTGCAATGAAAATAATCACTCGTGGTCAGTCAGTCCATCCAGGAATTTATTATGCTGCAAAGATGTAATACAAATTAAAATTAATCCCATCATTTTCTACAGTGTTTCAGAACTTCTTCAAAAGCCAGAGTGAACAAAGAAAAATCAAGGCTGAGGTTCCACAGAAAAAATCAGTCTGACTGTGATCTGAAATGCATTTTTAAAATAAATGTTACCAACACAAATGAATTGTTTGTCAAGTCTTATGACACTTCAGCGTTAGCATATTGTGTAGATGCTAATCTAAAAGTGCTGGCTGAGCCTGCACCCGCTCAACTTGCTTGTTGAAGGAAGTCGCACATTGACCATGGCGGTTAGCAAGAGGAAATTCATGTGTTATGGTGCCACATCATTGAAACATCTTTACTAGCTAATGCTAGCTGTGTTCCTCAGAGCAGTAAAAACAGTTCCAGCGGTAGCTTGCCTCGCCTCACGTGCTATTCCCCATCAGTTTACTGTGAAAGATTCACAGTTTATCCACAACGTGCATGCGCAAATCACAAAAAAAGAGATGTTAAACAGTGACAGCTACAATTTCCTATGAGTACAAAAGAAGCAGAGCTTTGAGCAACAATAGACAACCGTGGTCACAAGATGGCAGTGATCTAAAGCAGGGGTAGGCAACCTTTTTGATCATGAGCGCCATCTAAAATTTCCTCAGAAGTCAGTGTGCCATATGATTGCATTAGCAATAAATTTAATAACGCTCTATATTAACA